TCTCTCTCTCTCTCTCTCTCTCTCTCTCTCTCTCTCTCTCTCTCTCTCTCTCTCTCTCTCTCGTTATTCTGATTTTGGGACAATGGAATTTAATTAGGTCATTAAAGATTAGTACATTTGATACATCAATTCACTTTTTGTTTCAGTGATCTAATAAAAGTTATAAGACAATACTATGAAAAAAGAAGATGTAATAAAACTGAAGAACTTATACGACAATAATGAGAAAATGCTTTTATTATTAATTCATAACATTACAATAACGAGAATTCCACAAAAGTAAAACAAAAAATTCAATTAATAGAAATTTTAACAAAAGCCACAACTTAACCAATAGAAGAGTATACAATTGATAACACGTTCTAAACTTAAACAACGTCAATGAGCTTCCGTTCAAAAGCATGATTAATTCAATCTACTCCAAGTCTGAAAGAACATGTAAAAAATTATATTTACCCAAACACAATTTCTAATGACGTTTTCTTTTGATAAAAACATGAGTTTACTTGGTTTATCCGTATTTTTTCTTTGGTTGAATAATATATCTTGTGATAGTTTTTTTCCAAGTAGCATGCCAAACGTTTTCTTGATTTGTGATACTATGTGTTAGTAATAGGACACAAAACAACTTGCGTAGATCCTTTGCTGATGCCCAATAACATGCTTCTTTAATAACTTCAATATTTTCTTCATCATAGTCCTTGCAGATAACATAAGAAGTTATTTTTTTCCATATCTGTGTTTTAGATTCTCAAAATAGACATTCATATTTTGTTAGTTTTTTCAAGTACACATGCACATAAGTTATTTTTTTCTAAAAAACTTCATTAGATTAAGCTTTGAAGAAAATAAGCAACTTAAAATGTAAACCATAAGAAAATGTAAGATATATATAACAGTGTTGATATGGTTGCACGATAAGTTAGTATCAAATAATATATTCGTATTATTTATTACATTCTTTTTATTGCTATATAGATGTTCTGAATTTAATGCGTTAACATAAATCATTCTTAATTATTA